ACAAGCTCCCCACCACTACCCCAACATATAAACTGTATATGTGTGTGTGTGTGTGTGTATATATATTTCTACCCTCACCCTGAATATATAGACAGACCACCTCTTATGCCTACCAAACACATGTATAAACACCCTAGCATTCTCCAAAGAAATACACTTTGAATACTCCTAACAACTCCATACCTTATGAACAAACTTTGATAATGCATGCACCTGATGATGGACACACACACGGATTAGAATACACAAGTAAGATACATGGAAATATCTCCAGCAAACCATTTAGGAAACAACTTCCATATATCAACTTATCCCTAGCTATCAGGAGCCAGCTCACACATATACAAGTACTAACAAATACCGGTACCACATATTTCTAATACATATAAATGCAATTGTCCATCTTCCCTGTAGAAACATAGAACCCCACCTCTCTATCAGATACACATACACTCACTTCCCAAAATACATAAGCCTAAGAGGCTCCTACTGAAAATTACAAATGCACAGCCTCAGCAAATATTCCTCCAAGTGGCCATGCCCCTTGAATACACACACAAACTCATTTAACACACAACTCTCCACAAGTCCCAAATAGCACCACAATTACCCAGTACACTACAAATATGCAATAATATCACCCTGTACGCCCTTTCTTCCAAATACACATACAGTACCACACTACTGGCGTATACATAACCACACATTCCCAACCTCTCACACACAATTAACTCTGCCATCTTGCAGAATACAGAATCATACAAACACAACATACCTACATATACAACATCCACCAGTCCCATAAAATAGTCACAGACTTGCCCTCTACACATCCAAATATACACAGACAGCTCCTGAAAATGCACACACACAAACACCCCATAACCATACAACATGCCCTGAATACACAAATGATCAGCCTACATTCCCCAAATATACAAAATAAACAGACTGGACACCCAAAGTAATATACACCACGACTTTTCCTGACATTGCCCTTATGCATAGGCAGATAATCCTTCCAAACGCACCATTAGACACACACAAATCCCCAAATTCATGGGAGAAAAGAACACATGTAAACATATTCCCCGAACACCAAATCACAAACACCTAACCACCAACTCCTTGAGTATGCCTGCGTCACATCTCACCACCCTCCAAATACAGCACTCACTCTTACACACTCTCACAAAAACACAGGCATGACCTCCCTTCAAACACAAATATGCACAGACAAAACCAACCCGCACATGTGACTACATATCAGATTCCCACCAACCAAGTAAATATGTACAGACCCCATCTATGCTTGCAAATCAATCATGATTTGACATCAGACTACAATACATGTGTATGACCACATTCAGCAAAGCTGCTCCCATCACTGACAAAAGAATGCAGTTTGAACATAAGTGTTGATTGATGTTTTTATGATAAGAAGGAAGACACTAGTGAAACTATGAGTGTGTTCCTTCGATCTTCACTCATTTTCTAATCACCTGAGCTACACCTTTGGAACCAGATGAGGGTTTTCAACTCGCAAGAACTTCCCTCTAGCTTTTGTACTCTTCACAACGCGCAGACTAGAACGGCAGCTGTTTAATAGCTCGCACACACGATTTACCCCCCACTGTAGGCCCCGCAGTCACTGAACCCTTCATGCAGCCGGCTCCCCAGCGGTGCCAATAACCCTGGGGTAAACACCTCAAGGGAATCGAGCGCTATGGGGGCGTGAACCCACATTGTGGCGAGTCTCCTTACACGGACAAGGGCACAAATAACCCACAGGGTGAACAACAGCGCAGAGCGGTGACACCTGAGGGGTGAAAAGTGCCCGTACCCCTTACCTCAGGATTCCTATAACTGACCCTAGAGGCCGCCATGACAGGCCCCTCCGCCGCCTGACGGCCGTTGGGGCCCCGCCCCCCGTGCTCGCGCATGCGCTCTTGTCTTCCGGAGCAAACTGCCCCAACAGACGCTGGGAGCCGTTGGAGGACGGCGGTCCGCGTGCCCGAGAGCCCCGCCCCAGTGGGCGTGCGCAGGCGTGCGCAGGCGTCTAGGCGCGGGGAGCGCGGGCATCTGCTCCAGGCGGTCTCTGCAGGAGAGGAGAGAAATGGAGGGTCGGGCACGCTGCGCAACTTGACTGGCGACGCTCCTCGCCGGGAACTTTCGTGACGGTCTCTTCTTAAAACCAGCTCTTGTGAGATGTGCACTCGTGATTTTTATATTGCACACGTGAAACCCATGCACTCAGCTACAAAGCGTTGTGGAGAGCTCCGCTGTAAGCACAGTAGCCTCAAATTGGGGCAAGTGCTTTCATGCCCTTTGGACTGCAGTTCCTTGGTTCTTGTTTATGCCTTTCAAAAAGCAGTAGGTCCTTTTGCCTAGCAAGCCTGAAGTTTCCGTTAAAGAACAATTCTAGCAAAGAATTTCAGACCTGGGAAACACTCTTAAGATACTGTCTCCTGACTCCGTTCCTAGAGTTTCTGCAACGCATTTTACTCTACTAGAATATTTTTTCTCAGTGTATTTAAGACATGGAGGTTGTTCAATAAATGTTGATTTACAGCTGTTTCCTTTGTACGGGCTTGGGTTTTTTTAAATAATTTTGAGAAAGAGTTGACAATCTGGGCCAATTTCAACACAGCAGGTAGTATGGGAATAATTTTACTTTCCCTCCCTCCTTTTTTAATAATATCTTGCAGAATTTCGGTTGACAACAACAACAACAACAACAAAAATAGTAGCGGGATCAACTTACTGACCTGACTTTGTAATACTTCCCAAAGAAACTTCAATCATCAGATCCGCTTTCTGGTCAGTCTCAAGATTAGAGCATTTCTCACTCAACAGGATGCCCCTGAAGAACCCTCACATCTAACAGCACTAAGCACTTCCAAGTGCACAGACTTGAAAACTCCACAAGACACAAACATGTTATCTCTTCGTTTCTTTAATGTTTCGTGATTGCGTGGAAGATGAAGTGTCTTCTGAGGCTTGTGATGCATGTCCAGAGATGTTTTTTCTCAGTAGTCAATGCCTGCCCCCAGCCTCTGTGCAGGAATAGTCAGAGATCATGATCCAAAGGACTTTTAGATATTCCCTTCTGTGACTGGTCTTCCCAAATTACATTTGGGCTAATTTGATTATCTCTGTCTCTGGAGTGTAGGATTTTGAAGTATTACCAAAGAGACTGCAGAATTGGGACTGGCTAATTTTTGCACAGTGCAATTTTTGTATCAGTGGCCTTGAGAAGAGTCCTTCAAATACTGTATCAGAGTTATGAGTGCGAATCTTGTAAATAATTGGTTGAATGACTGAACAAAGGGAGGAAGCAACAAGGAAGCCTGCCTTTCTCGAGTGCCTGGGTACAATATTTTGCCTCACCATCCCTCTAGTATGAAGTTATTGGTTGAAAATCATTTAAGTTTTCCTTCATTATAAAAGTTCCAGTACTGAGCGATATTCACAAATCGTTTATTTTTTTCAGTCCCCAACAGGAGTTTCCTTAGATATGAAGTTCACCATGATGTTGCTTGAAATATTCTCACCTTATCTTCTCATCTTCTTCTGAGTCAATTTCTCCTGACAAGGAGCAAGGAACTTCTTAAGCACCAACAGGAGTCTTTTTCACACTGTGGAACAGTCCTTCTAAACCTCTGTTTCCCTCCCCAACACCCCACAATCAGTAGGAGTTCTACTGCTGCTACAGCAGTCAGTGAATCTCGTCTCCCAAGAGACCTGGTTGCCATCTTCTGAGGTTTTCAGCTTTCATCTCCCTTGACAAGTTTCCTAACAGTCCGCTCCTCTATGAAAATAGATCGCCTTCATTTTTAGTTGCATGAATATCTCTGGGAAGATTTTAATGAAAGAGAGAACACTGGTTTCCTCCGGGAAAGAGGATTGGGTTGACAGGGGAAAGAGGTGGGAGGAGGACTCGCCACTGCATATTCCATTTTGCACAATTTAATTTTGAACCATGAGAAGGTGTTACTCGCTTAAAATATTATACTAAAATCATTTACAAGGTAAAAAACTAAATCTTTAACAACCATGGAATACTATGAGAAAGACATTTAGTGAATTCTGGTCTTGGACATGGGGGCTGCATGACAGCTTTTTGATGGACGGGGGCTTTCCAGCACAAAGGATCATTAGTAAGGCTGGTCCTGCTGGATGTTGGTTGGAGCACAGGACCACTTCCTTAGGAGTGATGTACATACAGCAGTCAAAGACACTGGATCTGCTGAGACAATCCTAATTTCAAATACTCACTTCCATGTGGCCATAAGTCCCCAAGTGTTTATCAGACTAACACTTGGGTATTTTGTTCAGAAAGTCTAGTCTCTGTTGAAGTAAGTCAAGAGCCAGGTAGGAAGCTGAGTGTGTTGAGGGACACAAAACTAGGTTGATGGATAAAGACGTGAAAGGAAGGGACCGTCATGTCCAACGTCGGTGCCGTGAATCAAAAAGTTTATAAACTGCCTAAAGAGGCACACGCCAATTGTGTTGCCACTGTGTGAGGTGGAAGGAACTTCCGGTTCTTGCCTACCTCCCAGAGCCCTCGTGGAATGTTCCCCCACCCCGCCTCACCGGGACCCACGTGCCGTCTGCCCCTCCCCCACTGCAGAACGTTTCAGCCCACATGCTACTGTTTAAATTTAAACGTGGCTCTCCTTGGATCCTGAGCAACTGCTGAAGCAGGTCGCTCTCTGGGTCCTGGTCTTGACGTTTCTCATTGAGGCTACCAGGCAGCAGTAGTCCGTGCCCAAGCCTGCAGGATGGCTTCAGAAGGAGGTAAGCCTATAGGCTGGGGATGTGTTCTCAGAGACCCTGCCATCTCTCACATCCTTCGGGTTCATACGTGACACTTCACTGTGGGCACATAGTTGGACTGAAGTAGAGGGAGAAGAGAGCACTGGACCCACAACGACATTTCACCTGGGGAGACTGGGGAGCCTGAAGAAACCTGAGACTGCACTGGGGAGGAGGGGTCATTGGAGGTGGATCAAGAGGAATTGCCCTGGCTATGGAGAAAGGATGGCAGCAGACGGTTGATTGTTTCTAGAAGGGAGACAAGCCACTTTGAAACGTGTGTGTAAGGATGTGTGTGATGTCCTGGTGGTGACACAGGGAGGGTCATGAGGAAAGCCTAGACCTGTATTGTGTTCCTGAGGTACCTGAAGCTTGCCTCACCATATCTTTCAAAGGGATTTGAACAGGAGCATACTGTATCTCAGGGGGCCCTGGGGAGAGATGGTCTCGGTGAGAAAACTATTCAATGGGGCTGTGTGTGGCCACACCTGCAGTGAAGTGTCCTCTCCGAGAGCTAGGAAGGAGGTTACTCTAACTGCCGCAGCCCACACCTCATCCACTCCTCCCAGCCCAGAGCTCACTTCTCAGTTCAGGTAACTGTTGCCTTGGATTCAACAGGGGATGGGCAACCGTGTAACTTCAGAGACGGCTCAGGTTCCTGAGTTGCTCTGAATTGTTCTTCCTTTTGTGGTCCAGTATCTCATGGTGGACCCTCAGGCTGCCTTGAGAGGAAGAGTTTGTTCATATTTCATGTCACTCCTTCATGGACAGGGAACAGATGTGGAGAGGGCTTGTTTCGGGTGGAATGTCTAGGAAGGCTGCTTCCTCTTTTAAAGGGGGAAGGAGTGTAGCCCAGGGTCAGGAAGACGATCTTCTGTGTTACTATTAAACGTCCTATGACACCTATTCTGGTTAATTAGGTGCACCGTGGTGTGTACCTTGTTCTCCTGAACGGGAATGTGTTTCAGACAAGTTGGTCGCCATGGCACCTGGCTTATGCTTGCTTCTCAGATTGTCTCTCCGTTATTGGGAGCTGGAAGGGGAAGGACCACCGGCGGTCTATACTCCCACGACCAATGTAACATGACAATTCCCTGGCCCTTGTTTAATCCTCTGCAGCCATCACTGGCTGTGAAATGACAGGATCCAAGGGACATGCGCCTACTTCTCAGACCCCCCCCCACCTCCTAGGAAGAGAACTCCTGAGTGATGACAGTGACTCTGGGCACTGGGAAGGGGGTGGCAGGACCTGGCCCATGTTACGTACCTGCTGTGGGTTGTTCTGAGATGCAGGTGCATTCTGGGCCAGTGTTATGGGTTTGTATCAGGATTCCATTAGAGGGATATTTTCCAGCATTTTGTTTTGTTTTGTGAGGCTAGGCAAGAAAGAGGGGATTTATACTGAGCGTCAGGAAAAGGAGGACTGAGCAGGAGGTGGGGCCCTAATGTTTTACACAGTGCCTTTGGGTGCCTAGAACCTACCTTCCAGGAGGTCCCTACCTGCTGGTACGCCAGCTGAGGGGCATTTCCCACAGAGCGGATGTCCACACAGTTCCAGGTCTTGGGAGACAGCCTGTGAGGCTTAGCTGCCAGGGGGCGCCTTAGGGAGGCTCTCCAAGTGAATGCTTGCTGAGGCAATTTCTTCTCGGCAGGCAGGGGTCAGGGACCTTGGTGGATGGGCGCGGGGTCCCCAGTGGAATAATTCTCAACTGGAGGTCAGGGCATGAAAAGCACTTGAAGACATTTGCATGCTGCAGTTTCCCTTGTCCAGGTGTCTCTCACCTGTGGAGATTTACACTCTGATGCCGCAGAGAGCCTCTGTCCCACTGGCCCCTTCTCCTGCTCCATTCACTCCTTTCCTTTGCCTCAACAGCAGCTCCAGTGCTGGGAACGGATGTCATCATGAACCCTGGTGCCTCCTTGTCTGATTTCATGGCAGTGCTCTATCCTCCACCCATTCCTCGCCCCCAGGACCGGCCACCCTGGGGGCAGCACCTGCCACCTCCCATCACCCCAGCATTCCCTCCTGGCAGCAGCCTGCTGCTGCCAGCTTTCCCCACGACGCCTTTGGTGGCTAATGGTGGCCGTGGACCCAGTGCCCCTGGGGCCTGCAACCTCACTATTCAAGTCAGGTCACAAGGGAGGCCAGTGGAGGCCCCCCAGACTCAGACCTTTATCATAACTCAGGGCCCCCTCACCTGGAGCGCTCCAGGGGCCCTCAGCGGGACTGCTGCATGTCCTGCACCCGTATTCTTAGCACCCCCTGCGATGGAGACCATTGTGACTGCTCCAGCTGTTGGAGTTACTCAGGCTGGCAAGGGAGGCTGGACCCCAGGCTTTCCTCCTCAAGCTCCACCACCAGCTGCCCAGCTGGCCCCTATCATTCGCCCAGTGAACTCTGGGCCTTGGCCACATGGCACTTCCAGGGAGGGCAGCCTGGCCACCAACCAGCCCTACGCCTCGCAGGGTGACTGCTCTAACCCCCAGAGCGTGTACAGTAACTTCCGACGTTGGCAGCGCCTCAAGCCACTGGCGCGGAGACACCTTCCCCAGAGTCCTGATGCAGAAGCTCTGTCCTGCTTTCTCATGTGAGTGAACGCTCAGGGGGTCGTGAGCTTATCGGAGCTTTTAGATAAAGAGGACCTGGGGATGGACTCGCAGGTTAGGTTTCTAGGGATACTGGAAGCAAGGTCTGAGGGTGATGTCCATGCTATGAGAAGGCACATTGTCGGTCATGTGGGTGAGCCTGCCAGGCCATGACATCATGACTGAAATGTGCCTCATCTCAACTGACCCCACCACCCTGAGAGTCTAGCCAACTTGCTCTTCCATGATTCTCATGGTAATATGGACTGAAGACTTGCAGTCAGAGAGGGTCGTGCTGTAAGGTGAGGAGCCAAGGAGTGGATGCCGCACTCTCCTGTGGTGCGGTCTCCTTTCATACAGGACTTGATGTACATGGCAGGGGGAGGTCACTTCGGAGGAGGGGGAGGAGCGCGGGGCCCAGGCGAGCGCTTAATGCACGCCTCGACTTCGTTGTTGTGGAGAATTCCACTAGGAACAGGGTGATGGTAGAGCTCTCCTAAGGGCGTGGGCTCTCTCCCACTAGAGTTGTGAGCCTGGCAGGCATTTCCATCCTAAACCTCCGGTCCCTCGTAAAAAGGGGACAGTCACACTTCACTCTGAGGACCGGGCAGAAGACTCCTTGGGCTAATCTATGGAGTGTTAGCAGATGGCCTGGCACATGCCACGCCTCATTGATGATAGTGATTTTCCTTATGAAAAGGCAGCCTTGAAGAGGAAAAGAGCTCCCCAAGGCACAGTGTCCCAGCTCTAGCCTGGGAGTGGATGGTCATCCTCGAGTGAGTGTGAGGCGGTGACAGCAGTAGCCGGGAAGGCTTGTCTTTGCCCTCCCAGACACCTGCCTCTCACCCTCCTGTTGCTCAGTCATGCTGCGTTGAGTGATGTGTGGTCCACATTGGCGGGTGGGGTCAGGCAGGTGGGGGCTGGGCTGGGCACGGACACTGACCCCAAGGTCTTACAGCCCAGTGCTTCGATCCATGGCCCGCCTGAAGCCCACCATGACGCTGGAGGAGGCACTGTGCAGGGCCATGCAGGAATGGCAGCGCATAAGCAACGTTGACCGGATGATCTACTACAAGATAGCGGAAAAGTGAGTCAGCGCCCTGGGCCCAGGGGCTGCGTGGAGGCTGAGGCGAGTGGGTGAGGGCAGGGTCTGGCCGTGGGGGTGCTCATCAGAGAGGACAAAGGAGAAGGGCTGTCACTCAGAACAGGGGCCCCGCAGCCCAGAGGCCCTACTGTCCTCCAGAAACCCCTCCCTCACCTTGAGAGTTTGGGTCTTCTGTCCTTCCTCCACCAGGAGCTCTGCCCTCCCCTGATTTTGACCTACCCTTGCCTTGACATGAAGGTCTTAGGATGGGGCAGGGTGACGCTGTGAGTCCAGTTGGGGTCCAACTCCTGCCATATGGGCTGAGCCGGGGAAAGAGCTCCACGGGCCAGCCTGCTGCTTCCTTAGTGGTGGGTGGCTGGCGGCCACTGACATAGATTTGGGACCCCCTCTCCTCATGAAAAGTGGCCTGAGTGGGTACACTGGCATCCCTGAAGAGGCTGGGGAAGCCAGCTGTCGTCAGCCCGAGGGTCTCTGGCCCTTCCGTTGTTTGCTCCATGGTAATCCCCTTGGTTTAAGAAAGAAAAGCAAACCAACGAGCGCCTCTCAGAGGAAAGGAAGGCCTCTCCTCTGAGCTCAGCATCCACGTCGTCCAGCCTCTCCTGGGCCCTGTCTCCAGGCCTCTGTTCCAGGACTCTCAGTCCCAGCCCAGGGTCCTGGATTCGGGCAAGGACCCCTGTGGGGAACACATGCCTGTTCCAGCCTCTGGCTGTCAGCCCTTCATGTGGTTCTGGATGGGGTCGGGGGGCATGAGGAGGGTGCCCCCTGGGTCAGCCACGTGTCCCGTTGACCTGGTTCGATTCAGCGACCTGGGTCTATGCTGTTGAATGGCCTCCAGTGCTGGTGAGGCAGGAAGGGTCCCAGATCTTGTATCAGTTCCAGGAGCAGCTCTCTGCTGTGGACAGCACCTCACAGGGCCTTGACAGCCCCAAGGCACATCCTCTCCCAATCCCTCATCCTTGGCTGCCTTTGTTGGGCTCCAGAACCCAGGCCTTTTGCTCAGGGTGGCCTGTGCCTCCGTCACCCCCCAGGTTCGTGGAATTTGAGGCCGAGGAGGAGATGCAGATTCAGAAGGGGCAGTGGATGCAGTGCGCGCAGGACCTGCCTCCTCCAGCCCCACCGAAGCTGGATCCTCGGGGGCCCCCAGCCCCGAAAGTGGGCCTTCAGCCAGGCACCCAGTTTCCCACTGGAGTTGAAGGCACAGGTAACAGGGGCCTAGGGTGGGCCACTGTCCCCACGTGGATCCTTTTCCTTCAAGACAGGGGCATTGGTCTTTCAACCGAAACAGCCACCGAGGCAGGGGTGGGGGCGTGGGGTCTCAGCTGCCCTTTGTCACTATGGGGTATTGACTTGGTCAGTTTTGTAACTCCTCTCACACCTCCCTGTCAAAGGACCCCACACAAGGTCTGCCTAGGAAGTGGGCTTGATGGCGAGACCCCTAGAAAATTGGAGGTTCCCCACTTCCTTACTTGTGACTCTCTTAGATGCCCCCCTTACCTCCCCTCTCCAACAGTGCATGAGGCTTCAGGTGGTCCTGACCCCCCCACACCCACATCAATGTCCCCCAAACAATGCCCTCACCAACGTGCGCTCGGTGGTCAGGAGGTGGACCGGGAGTCCCTCACCTTCCTTCCCTTCCTCCCTCTCTGCCTCAGCCTGTGCTCCCAGGCTGTCCGGCCCCAGGGCCCAGCCCTCCTGCCCAAAGCCACACAGCTCCCAGCAGCCCCCGGAGCCCAGGGCACCCAAGGAGATTCCCCCCGAGGCTGTGAGGGAGTATATGGACATCATGGATGCGCTGGTGGGGCCCGGCCACTCAGCCACAGGCGAGTCAGATGCAGAAGGTGGAGAGGACGGAAATGAGCTGAAGCAGGAAGAGGACGGCATCTACTCGGACCCGGGCCTCTTGAGCTACATTGACAAGCTGTGTTCCCAGGAGGACTTTGTCACCAAGGTAGGCTAGGCCTGGAGCCTGGGGTCTACAAGATGCCAGGGCATGGAACACTCAGCACCCAAGATCTGGGTTCTGCTCAGGCCATTGGGACTTAAGCTCAGCTCCTTGTTCCTGAGCCTGGTGTTAGGGGAGGTTTACGCAGATGTATGTGTGTACATGTTTGTGTCTGTCTGTGTGTATGCCTTTGTGTGTCTGTGTATGTGCCTCTGTATATGTGCTCTTTTGTGTGTGACTGTGTATGTGCGTGTGTGTGTGTGCGTGTGTGTGCGTGCGTGTGTGTGTGTGTGTGTGCTGATCATCCCCGCCTTGTGGAGGAGAGTGAGGTGGGTCTCTGCTTTTCACTTTCCCTCCGGGTCTTCTTGTCTCACAGGCCACTCCTGGCCAAGGATGCTCACAGCCTCTTCTTTCTGTCCGAGGTGGAGGCAGTCATTCACCCTCGATTCCTGGCAGAATTGCTTTCCCCAGACCCACAGCTGGATCTCTTGGCCCTAGTGGAGGAGCTGGAGCAGGAGGAAGGGCTCACCCCGGAAGAAGTGAGTCAGGGGAGGGAGAGGGACACTCAGGGAGCCAGGGGACCCCACGGGAGGGGGACCCCAGGTGATCCAGGGGAGCCAGAGGAGGGAGGGATCCCCAGTAGAACACGGGAGACAAGGGACACCCAGGAAGACCAGGGCACGGAGGGACCCCAGTGAACAGGGGAGAGGTAGGGCCCCAGAACTGGAGGGCCACCTGGCGCTGTCCATCCCTCCCCTGCCTGGGAGGCCTGGCATGGAGAAGGGCCCGTTTTGGGGTGGGTGCAGTGCAGGGTGAAAGGAAGGAGAGGATGGGGATCCAGGAGGGGAGGGAAGGGCACAAAGCTGGGAATAAGGTGCAGGAGGATGGCAGGAATGCCACAGTGTCTCTATTTGGATTCGAGTCCTGGGGTCCCCCGTCCCCTCCTTCCCCCAAGGGCCATTGTCCCACTGCTCAGGGCTCCTCCTCTCACACGTGTGTGTGGAGCCAACACTGTCCTCCTCCCTCCTACCAGCTGGTGCAGAAACGACTCCTGGCCTTGAAAGCGGACGAGGGTGTGCGGGCAGCCCCGAGTCACAGTGCACCCGGAACGCGCTCAAGTCCTTCTGAGCCCGACGCCGGCCAAGGTGCCCAGAGGCACGACCAAGACCCCCATCTAGGGGTCAGTGATGAAGCCTGCCCACCAGAGATTGATTCTGAGGCTCCTCATAGGCTCATCCAAACAGACACTGGCCTGTGCAGGCCCAAAGCCTTTGTTCCCTCTCGAGGACGTCAGGAGGTCTCTCCATTCTGGGCCGGACGGCCCTCCCCTCCCCAGGGTCAAAGGCGCGCTGGCCCTCTACGGGGACCCAGGGATGCGTCTGTTCTCAGAGAGGCCACTCCTGTTCGGGAGGCCCGAGGGCCCAGGGACGGCTCCAGTGACGACGACGAGGAACTCCCCAGCCTGGCCTTCCTCTTCGGCTCTCTGCAGAGCCTGCTGCCTGGCTGGGTGTCCCAGAGTCCTGCCCATGCCTCAGGCCTGGCCTCCCCTGGAGGTTGGGGGGCCCAGAGTGCTCCCCACGCCCCCTCCCATCAGAGAAGAGGCCTCAGCCCAGCTCCACCAGCCACTCCCAAGTCGAGGAAGCGGGCTCTGTGTGGACGCCCAGCCGCTGCTGAGAAGCTGCCCATCCCCGGGGCTGGCCTCGGGGTGTCTGGGAGGCCAGGCTTGGCTCTGGGGCCTGCTCACCCCTCACAGCCGAGGAAAAGAAAGTGTGACCCGTGTGTCACAGAGAAGAGTAGGAAGTGGAAGAAGCACTGCAGCCAGTAGGGAACAGCTGGGCCGGCCCTCCAGGGCGAGGCCCCAGGGCGGCCCCCAGGGGAGCCTAGGGGCTCCTCCTCATCCCAGTGCTGACCCTGGATGATGTGGGGGGAAGGGAGGGAGGGCAGGACCCCCAGGGCGGGGAGGGGGAGAGGGATTGTGGGGGGTTAGGGAGGTGGGGGAGGTGGGTGTGGCCAGGTGTGGGTGGGAGCAGGACCTTTGGAGTGACGTATATCAATTGTGAATAAAGATCGTCTTGGTGGGAAATGCTCTCAGGCCACTGTCATCTTGTTCGTGTTGCGCTGCTCCACAGAGAGCGATCCAGAGAGGAAGGAAGGATGAGGGAGGTCACAGGAGCTCTGGATCTACAGGTGGCCGAACCTTTCCTCCACATAGACAAGGACTCCTCAGGCTGCCCCTGGGAACGCACAGCTCTCACTTTCCCCAGGGACCCCCTCATCATCCCCTTCTCTAAAGCCTGCTTGGCTAGGGGCCTTCTGGGGCCTCTGTACCATCTTCTGCATCCCTGAACCTTCTGGGGAGGCAGAGCTGCTTTTGTGCCTTTCAGCCCTCTGGACACTCACCAGTTTCTAGGATGGAGCCTGGAGACAGCCCTTGTCATTATGGAGCTTCTCTCTGCTTCCCTGAAGTGGCCAGGTGACGGCGCTGGGATGACCCTCCGCTCATCCAGGGTTTCCTGTGTGGGTGGCGTGAACAGAGAGGAAAAGTCTTGGCCATGGGGACAGGACTGTCTGCCTCGTCGTAGCGGGAGCATCCTCTAGTCCCACTGGGATTACTGCAATGTGGAGAGTGGTGGAGGCAGCTACCTCTTAATCCCAATGAGGATGCAACAAGGGGAATGGGTGCGGGGAAATTCATGGGGCACCCGTGAAAGGTGTGTATAAGGGTAATGACAGTTGGGCCCCTTTGTGGAACTTGTGGGATTTCTCTGCAGCAGCATCTCGTTCAACTGAGGGAGGAGGACCCATCTGGCTGTGGCTGTGGAGACTGGCCTCAGGGGCCTATGGGTGTGCAAAGACACCCCAGAACTACTGTCCCTTCCCTTTCCACCCATGGCTGGACATGTGTGTGTATTGGCATCAACACTGATTTGTATTCCCGTATAAAACAGTTCCTCCTAACAAACTATGACCACGTTTCACAAGAACAGCTTGCTCACAGCGGCAGCAGGGTTGGGGGAGAGGTGTCTGTGGCCCCAGATCTGGGTAGGAGCTGGGATCCGTGCAGAGGAGTGTGAAGGCCTCAGTCACCGTCCTGTGGGTGCTGGCAGAGACTTCGAATCATCAGAGCAGGGGAAATGACCCGCTCATAAGCGTGAGACGAGCAAACAATGAGGGGCAGGGCGCAGACCCCTACTGTCTCCCCAAACTGCCCCCCCTTGCAGCCTGCTTAGCCCCCGTCATGGCTTGTGCTGGCCCACCTCTGAAGCCCCTTCCTCCTAACGCACTCAGATGCTCTAGTCCTTTGTGAACCCACCCTGGGGCTCACCCGCCCTTCCCTGCTGGCCAAAGCCTCTTCCCCTGCTTCTGAGTTCTGATTCCTTCCCCAGGATCCAGGCGGGGGTTGGGACAGCAGAGACTCCCTAATTCTCCCTCCTCCTCCCGGAGATCTTGACAATCACCTTTGTATGTTTCTATGATTTTAACTATTCTAGATACTTCATGTGAGTGGCTAGGATATGTCCTTTTATGAGTGGCTTATTTCACTTACCATAACGTCTTAGAGGTTTATCCATGTTGTAGCATGAGACACGGTTTCCTTTTATTTCAAGGAAGGACATATTTCACTGTATTTATAGACCCCATTATCCGTTCATCTGTTGATGGACATTTGGGTTTCTTCACATCTTGGGTATTTTGGATAATGTTACGATGAATGTGGGTGTGCAAGTATCTGTTTGAGATACTGCTTTGAATTCTTTTGGATACAAACCCAGAAGTGGGACTGCTGGATCACATGGTAGTTATATTTTTAATTTTTTAAAAATTTATTATTTATTTATTTTTGGCTGTGTTGGGTCTTCGTTTCTGTGCGAGGGCTTTCTCTACTTGCGGCGAGCAGAGGCCACTCTCTTCATCGCGGTGCGTGGGCCTCTCACTGTCGCGGCCTCTCGTTGCGGAGCACAGGCTCCAGGCGCGCAGGCTCAGTAGTTGTGCCTCACGCACCTAGTTGCTCTGCGGCATGTGGGATCTTCCCAGACCGTGACTCGAACCCGTGTCCCCTGCATTGGCAGGCAGATTCTCAACCACTGCACCACCAGGGAAACCCCTAGTTTTAATTTTTTGAGGAAACCTCATATTGTTTTCCGTAAGGGTTGTCCCATTTTGCAGTCTCACCAACAATGAGAAAGATAGTCACCGTCAAGAACTTGGTAAATATCAACCTTATAAAAATGTTTATGCTTTTAGCACAGCTGTAGATAATCACAATTATGTATAATAATAATATTTTGGGTTATATATGGTGTCATGTAAATCATATTGCCTTTGGCTGCTTCTTTCAACATTCTTACTTTAAGAAAAATGGGGGACTTCCGGGAAGATGGCGGAAGAGTAAGACGCGGAGATCACCTTCCTCCCCACAGATACACCAGAAATACATCTACGCGTGGAACAACTCCTACGGAACACCTACTGAACGCTGGCAGAAGACCTCAGACCTCCCAAAAGGCACGGAACCCCCCACGTACCTGGTTAGGGCAAAAGAAAAAAATAAACAGAGACAAAAGGATAGGGACGGGTCCTGCACCAGCGGGAGAGAGCTGTGAAGGAGGAAAAGTGTCCACACACTAGGAAGCCCCTTCGCGGGCGAAGACTTCGGGTGGCGGAGTGGGGGAGCTTGGGAGCCGCGGAGGAGAGCACAGCAACAGGGGTGCGGAGGGCTAAGCGGAGAGATTCCCGCACAGCGGATCAGGGCCGACCTGCACTCACCAGTCCGAGAAGCTTGTCGGCTCACCCGCCGGGGCGGGCGGGGCTGGGAGCTGAGGCTCGGGCTTCGGTCGGAGCTCTAGGAGAGGACTGGGGTTGGCAGCGTGAACACAGCCTGCAGGGCGTTAGTGCACCGCGGCTAGCCGGGAGGGAGTCCGGGGAAAAGTCTGGACCTGCCGAAGAGGCAAGAGACTTTTTCTTCCCTCTTTGTTTCCTGGTGCGCGAGGAGAGGGGATTAAGAGCGCTGCTTAAGAGAGCTCCAGAGACGGGCGCGAGCCGCGGCTAAAAGTGTGGAGCCCAGAGACAGACATGAGATGCTAAGGCTGCTGCTGCCGCCACCACCAAGAAGCCTGTGTGCGAACACAGGTCACTATACACACCCCCTTCCGGGGAGCCTGTGCAGCCCGCCACTGCCAGGGTCCCGGGATACAGGGACAACTCCCCCCCCGGGAGAACGCACGGCGCGCCTCAGGCTAGCAACGTCACGCTGGCCTCTGCCGCCGCAGGCCCGCCCCGCACTCCGTGACCCTCCCTACCCACCCCCGGCCTGAGTGAGCCAGAGCCTCCGAATCAGCGGCTCCTTTAACCCCGTCCTGTCTGAGCAAAGAACAGACGCCCTCCGGCGACCTACATGCGCAGGCGGGGCCAAATCCAAAGCTGAGCCCCTGGGAGCTGTGATAACAAAGAAGAGAAAGAGAAATCTCTCCCAGCAGCCTCAGAAGCAGCGGATTAAAGCTCCACAATCAACTTGATGTACCCTGCATCTGTGGAATACATGAATAGACAACGGATCATCCCAAATTAAGGAGCCCTGTGGATGAAAGGCTCTTGGTGCTGCAGCCAGGAGTCAGTGCTGTGCCTCTGAGGTGGCAGAGCCAACTTCAGGACACTGGTCCACAAGAGGCCTCCCAGCTGCACATAATATCAAACAGCGAAAATCTCCCAGAGATCTCCATCTCAACGCCAGCACCCAGCTTCACTCAACGACCAGCAAGCTACAGTGCTGGACATCCTATGCCAAACAACTAGCAAGACAGGAACACAACCCCACCCATTAGCAGAGAGGCTGCCCAAAATCATAAAGTCTACAGACACCCCAAAACACACCACCAGACGTGGACCTGCCCACCAGAAAGACAAGATCCAGCCTCATCCACCAGAACACAGGCACTAGTACCCTCCACCAGGAAGCCTACACAACCCACTGAACCAACCTTAGCCACTGGGGACAGACACAAAAAACAACAGGAATTACGAACCTTCAGCCTGCAAAAAGGAGACCCCAAACACAGTAAGATAAGCAAAATGAGAAGACAGAAAAACACACAACAGTTGAAGGAGCAAGATAAAAACCCACCAGACCTAACAAATGAAGAGGAAATAGGCAGTCTACCTGAAAAAGAATTCAGAATAATGATAGTAAAGATGATCCAAAATCTTGGAAATACAATAGACAAAATGCAAGAATCAGTTAACAAGGACCTAGAAGAACTAAAGATGAAACAAACAATGATGGACAACACAATAAATGAAATGAAAAATACTCTAGATGAGATCAATAGCAGAATAACTGAGGCAGAAGAACGGATAAGTGACCTGGAAGATAAAATAGTGGAAATAACTACTGCAGAGCAGAATAAAGAAAAAAGAATGAAAAGAACTGAGGACAGTCTCAGAGACCTCTGGGACAACATTAAACACACCAACATTCGAATTATAGGGGTTCCAGAAGAAGAAGAGAAAAAGAAAGGGACTGAGAAAATATTTGAAGAGATTATAGTTGAAAACTTCCCTAATATGGGAAAGGAAATAGTTAATCAAGTCCAGGAAGCACAGAGAGTCCCATACAGGATAAATCCAAGGAGAAATACGCCAAGACACATATTAATCAAACTGTCAAAAATTAAATACAAAGAAAACATATTAAAAGCAGCAAGGGAAAAACAACAAATAACACACAAGGGAATCCCCATAAGATTAACAGCTGATCTTTCAGCAGAAACTGCAAGCCAGAAGGGAGTGGCAGGACATATTGAAAGTGTTGAAGGAGAAAAACCTGCA